CGCGATAAAATAAAGTATCGCTTTTGGGATTTATTATTTGAGTCTTATCGATTGCATCAAACGTCGCGTTAAATCTAGTAATGCACATAAAATTTGTTTTATATTTTAAATAAAAGCTTTGACGAATATGTGTGAGAATGTGTTTGCATACACATACCTAAATATTTATCTTTTTATTAAAGTCGTGTACTATAAAAAAAGAAATAATATCACAATTTAATTGTTAATAACTTCTTTATTAAAGTCGTGTACTATAAAAAAAGAAATAATATCACAATATCAACTGTCGACAACTTCCTTGAACGTGATCGAGATATTTGCAAAAAAATTATATTGTATTTTTTACGCATTAAATTTATTGAATTATTATTATTATTTGAACAGTTACATTACAATTAATGCATCGCGGTAGAAGTCATTCAATTATACATTTAAAAGAACTTAAGAATCACTTGAGATTATATTATTCATTAGTGCTTACACACAAAAAATCGTAACAGATTTACAATAATTTACAAATAGATTAAAGGTAGCAATACCACATTACTTATACATATATAAATTTTAGTTGCAGGAGAAAATAATTTCAAGAATTAATAAATATTATACAGTCGGACCTCGATAACTCGAACTTCTACAACCCGAAAACCTCTATAAGACGAAAATTTTGTTCATCCCCTTCCGCTCCGCTACGGAAAACATATATCGAAATAAAACCTACCTTAACTCGAATTATTTGTCAGGCATTTAGATATATATTTCATCTCTGTAACTCGAATTTAAAGTAGTCAGACCTTTACAAGTCGAAATTCATCTCTATAAATCGAACTTTTATTGTCGCTATCTCTATAATTCGAAGTTGTAGCTATGTGTAACCGTGAGTAATAGCCTGGTATATTGTTTTATGATTACATTTATTATATGTATGCATTAAATAATCACTGTTAAATATTAATTTTCTTTCTTTAAAAGCCATTATAATTGGAAAATTATAAACTCTCGTACAAAGCCTTCGTAAGTCGA